AGGTTTAATTCACTTTTGGGGTGTTCGGCGGTGTTTTGCGGTGTGCAGTGGTGTTCGGCGGTGAAAAGACCTACCCGTCCGTAAATTTGGGTAGGTCTTTTCACCGACGAACATCACCGCACACCGCAAAACACCGCCGAACACCCCAAAAGTGAATTAAACCTATGAAAAAAACAATAATGTGTGTTTATTAAAGCAGAAAACTGTTGAAGTTGTTGATTTTTTTCAATTTCAAAGAATAATTAAACGGAGAATACACACAGCGTTTGTGAAAGTCTATTTTTATGTTATTGTTTCTGTGAATCAAATGCATATGAAGTGTCGTTTAAGGAAAGTTTTTATTTTTTATTATGGACAAGAACGACACTTCATCGGAATATTTCTTTACTTAAATACGGACTGACCTAATTATTTTGCATTTCGTAAACAAACAATCGTAAAAATAGAATAATATGATAACGTGTGCACCTTGTCAGGAAAATCACACACTGCAAAATCATAGATAAAATAGTTGGATCATTGGAATTACGTATGCAGTTATTAATTATCTTTTTGATTTACAAGTCACAAGTCATTAAACAAAGACATGTGAGAAGACATTTGAAAATGAAGAATTTGGAAGAAAAAAAATAGGATATAACGATTCAGAAGAAGGAACGGCGGAACCTATGTTTACTTTTCTTATCCAATCGTCTTTTTTAAACACTTGTATTTTTGCCGCCGAACATGTGCAGATTTATTTTCAACTCACCTGGCCCAAAAGGCTAAGTGAGCTTTTCTCATCAGTTAGCGTCCGTCATCCGACGTCGTCTGTCGTGCGTTAACTTTTACAAAAATGTTCTCCAAACTTGGCCACAATCATCATTGGGGTATCTAGTTTAAAAGATGTGTCCGATGACCCAGCCTATAGGGGGTAAAATGCAAGTATGTCTATTATTTTGAAAACCATTATAAATAGAGAAAATCTGACAGAGCAAAAATATCTAGCATGTTGAGCTCCACTAAATCAACATCAAAGAAAAAAAAACAAGATATAGTAGACATTCTACTTTCGGTTGTATCTTAATCTCAAGCTCGTTAGTTCACTGAGATATACCAGATGTATGCTTTCATTGAAATGTAGGTTATTGAGTAACATAACATCATCAATATATCTGAAAGTGAAATAATAGGACTTTGCAAGATGCGTTTTCTTTTTGTCTAACTCTTTGAGAAAGTTTTGTATGAATTCTGATTCATACGAGTACAAAAACAATTAGGTCAGTAATTGTGCACAACTGCCGGGTTTGAATACCGACTTTCTGCTGAAATACCGATCCACCAAAATCAACAAATATGTTGTCGAACAAAACGTCCAGGATTTTGATTATATCATCTTTAGGGTATTTGTTGTGGGAATAAATGTGGATCTTCACAAAGTTAGATTTGTCATGACTTAAAAAAAAACCAAACTTGTGTCTTAGTTTCCCATTTTTTGTAAAAAAAAAAAGCTCTGTTCAATAAGACAATGTAGTGGACCTTTCAATTGGGCATGGAGATATTTGATATTACTGCAAAATCGTAAAGATTGTAATTGAAGCTTCTGAAGATCTTCAGAATTTGTTTAGAATCTACATCTTATTGACACCGTTGGTTGAATGTACCTCATCACAATATTTCTGAAGGCCATCTTTTACTGTAGAAAGAATTGTTGTAAGAAATTAAAAGAAAGATATTTAGTCGAACATCTTGATAACCCGGCTGTATATGGTTCTTTATAAGGATTTATGTGACGTTAAGGTATCCAGTATAAAGATAGATTTCATCATCCCTTTTTAAGTCGAACAGAGAAAGACGGATTTGTAATTTTTTTAAATCTCTTCTTCCGTGAATGATGTAGGGGTAGATGTTGAATCCCAGTTTTTCTTTAATTTCAAAGTTCATTTGGTCTCTTGCGGAGAGTTGTCTCATTGGCAATCATACCACATCTTCTTATTTTTATATACACAGAATGAATGGAAATGATACATTTTTAAAATTTCTAAATAATTATGGTTTACAACTCAAAACTAGGTAATTCATCAACAAACATAGAGATAAGAAAAAATAACAAAAAAAAAACCTGTAACAGACTAGTTGCTTAAAAACTATGTGCTCCCACTGTAAGAATTATGGTCAACCATTCATACAAACTGTAATCGAACATGTTCTACAACGAATGTCCGGATAGAGAACCATAAACATGCTATAACAACTGTGATGGCTAAACAATAGGTACACAGCTTTAAACATTTTCCGATCCGATTTCATAGCTCAGTAGCTTTACAAAATCAATATCACGTTTTTTATAGACGATTTTTAGTTACTTTAACCTATATAGATATAAGAAGATGTGGTATGAGTGCCAATGAGACAACTCTTCATCCAAGGCACAATTTGTAAAAGTAAACCATTGTAGGTCACAGCACGGCCTTCAACACGGAGCCTTGGCTCACACCGAACAGCAAGCTATAAAGGGTCCCCAAAATTACTAGTGTAAAACCATTCAAACAGGAAAACCAACGGTCTAATCTATATAAAAAACGAGAAGCGAGAAACACTTATATGAACCACATCAACAAACACCAACCACCAAACTACAGGTTCCTGACTTAGGACAGGTGCAAACAAATGCAGCGGGATTTAACGTTTTAACAGACGCCAACCTTCACCCTAACCAGAAACAATAGTGTAACATCACAACATAGAAAGACACACTATAAGATATCAATCAACGGTAGTATATATTAAAAATAGTGAGACGATATATAACACAAAAGAAGTAAACATTAAATAACAAAAATGCATTATAAATTGTATCAACAAGTCAAATTAACACGAAAGAACGATTTGAGAGTACTCGCAGTTACTGAAAGCTAGTTAAAAGCCAAAAACAATTAATATAAAAAATCATGCATCAGGGCCCATATGCATAAAGCTACTTAAGTTAAGATTTGTTCCGAACGGACGGATTTTTCTACATTTCCTAGGATAAATTAGTACTACGATTGGATATCTTTTTAGTTAACTTAAGTAGCTTTATGCATACGGGCCCAGAGACTAAAATCAACTAAAACACATCCCATGGATTTAGTGTTTTAACGCCATGGACAGTCAAAGAAGATATGACTTGTGCAATGCCAAAATAAAAGTATCGACAGGCAGTATGATAGTTAGGAGTTAACCTTTTAATAAATATGTATAATGTTATATATAGATAAAGTAATCTCTATATAGAAAATGAACGTGGATGTGTATTTATACATCCCAAAAAACCGTTTCCAATGTAAACTATATTCAAAGATCTAATTACAATATTGGTAAGATAACCTTTACTAATAAGTTTGTTTAAATACACGGATCACATAGTGATTTCCGCGCTTTTAGTACAATATTACCGTAAAATTTAGGATGTGAAATACGGTTTTTAATAAGTTTTCTTCAGGTACAGCCAAATTTACTAATCACATCTTTGTATCTATGAAAGAATTTAGTAAAAGTTTTAAGTAATTTATGGTAACGAAATCTCTGACTTAATAATTTGCCAGTGATGCATTGATTACGTTCGTTAAAATCTATGACATCACTACACACACGGGCATAACGAACGAGTTGGGATATATAAACACCGTATGATGGATCCAAAGGAACATCGCCGTCTAAAAAAGGAAAATTAACATGCAATAGGGAATGAAAAATCGTCTTTTTTGTCGTAAATTTTAGTATGGAGTTTCCCTTTAGAAATTGAAATGTCTAAATCTAGAAAACGACAACTACTGCTGTTTATGTTAGATTTATTTAAAGTAAGTTCCTTTGGGTAAATTTCGGTAGTATATTTAGAGAACTCTGGATTATTTAACGAAAAAATATCATCAAGATAACGGTAGGTATTGTTGAATGTATCAACCAAATGTAACAATGACGTGACTGAGTTTGGTCATAAACTGAGATTCATAGCAAACTTCACCTTAGATCAGGTCCCTTTTGTGATAAAGTTTTTTCATGTATTTTCACATACTTGGCTTTAACATATTCGGTTTTGAGCGTTCCTTGTAAAGTTGAATCAAGAAAAGCGCTGCGGACGCACCAATTAATCTGATAAAATATTACTTTCATTTTTGATCGTATTTTACTAACAATGAGTATTACGACGAGTGCCTCTTGTAGAGCACCAAAGTTCACCACTCCTTTTGTTAAAAGGGGGTTTGCGTGATTTTGCTTTAGTGTTCAGTGTTGACTTTTGTGTTATATAATTTTTCAAAGTCTTCATTTATTTGTCATGCCTTCCGCGAGAAGATGTCTAGCGTCCATCCGTCATTCTGCACATGTCGTCAATAATTTTCAATCACATCTAGGAACGTTTTGTTCTGGTTTATCTACTTTATTCAAAATAACAGACCTTGAATTTTTGTTAAAAATCATGAATATTTTGCATTATACCTATAAATGGTTTGTCATTGGCTATCATGCACTACAAAACGTTCCTAGATGTGATTGAAAATTGTTGACGACATGTGCAGAATGACATGATGCTAGACATCTTCTCGCGGAAGGCATGACAAATGAAACAATTATACAGTAAGCAACTAATATGTACTTCACCAAAATATTTATTTGATATTTGATCTGAATGAATAAATTTGATATTGTATCCTGCATTTTAGGAAGGCTTTGTCTTGTCAACGTTGGTTAGACTATATCAACCAACGGAACGAATGGAAAAACAACTGTCAAGATTCCTGACTTGGTAAATAGAATAAGAAATTTACAATATTCATGATTTTTTAAAAGTGTAAGGTCTGTAATTTTGAAAAAAGTAGATTAACCAGAACAAAACGTTCCTAGACGTGATTAAAAATTGTTGACGACATATGCGGAATGACAGGTGGACGAATATGGGTAAATCTATAGGCTTAGACATCTTCTCGCAGAAGGCATGACAAAAAAAAGCAGTTGTTATTATACAGTATTCAACTAACATGTGCTTCACTAAATATTTACTTGTTATCTAATCTGAATGAATACATTTGATATTGCATCCTGCATTTTAGGAAACCTTGTCTTGACAACGTTGAACAACATTGGTAACGTCTTCATGCATTGACTATAAATTTACAATCATTTATCAATATCTTCAATTTTGTGTCTTAGGATAAGTTCCCAATTCTCTCCTTTGTTCATGTCTGTGTACTTGACAGGTTTACTGAATAAAACTTCGACTTCTTCGTATTTTTGTGGCGTTAAACCTGCAGCAACGACAGCCTCTTCGAACTTCTTCACAGAAGCCGTTGCAATTACCACAGTTGTTCTTTGATGGTCTGGTTTAAATCTGAAAAACACAATCAAGAAGTTGGTATAAATTCTTCATTATTTACATAACTAAATATATAAGTATAGTCTGGATAATGATGGTCTATTTATTTTTGTATCATTTAATTGATATAGGGATTACAACTAGCTTTCAGTTACTGCGAGTTCTGTTAGATCAATAATTTGTCTCATTTGTAATTTTGTTCTTTTATTTTTAGGTCGGTATTGGTCTGATGAGTCGATTCCTTTTCAAAAGATTTTTACAAATTGTTCTAATGTAGTTCTGTTGCACCACTGTCCCATGTTAGAGGGTTACTGCCCACAATAGCTTTGATCCCGCAACATTTAATATTGGACAATTCAAAAGTTAGGAATGAATCTATTCAAGTCATCAAATAAAAAGATGTTATCATTACTTTGTCTTACATAATATTATAGATTATAAACCAGTTGAGTGCATTATGTATGAAAATGCCCCTTTATTAATAAAAGCAAAACTGGTCCATTACAGACTAACAGGGCATTAAGACTGGGCCATTGTGAATAAAAAGGGCTACTAGTATTATGAATAAACATGGCCATTTTGAAAAAAAACAGGGCTATTACGGATTTAACTTGATACATTTCTGGGGAAAAGAAACATCAAGAAATTGAAAGTTTCCAAGAATCATCATGATCATGAATTATCTCATTTGACCCAGTTGTCAAGTTAATAATAACATAATACATTCCATCATGTGTATCAATTTATTTCATTTTGAGTTTTAAAAATCTAGAATGAAATCTTGTATTTTGTATGCCATAAATTGCTTTGAATAGGACAACAATAAAACTATATTCACATTAACATGTTTTTCCATCACATCACTTTAAAAGTTTCTTTTTAATATTGCATTTGGTATATTTATATATGTACAATTTCTCCACATAAAAAAACTGATTTTGCTTTGTTAAACATTACACATTGACGGTTTGGTAAATAAATAAAGGCAACAGTAGTATACCGCTTTTCAATAGTCATAAATCGATTAAGCGAAAACAAATCCGGGTCACAAACTAAAACCGAGGGAAACACATCAACTATAAGAGGAAAAAAACGGAACAACAGAAACACTGAACTGCTACAAAAACAAACGCCAACATACATAGAAACGGACTATTTGATAACTATTTGATAACAACTGCCATATTCCTGACTTGGTACAGGACATTTTAAGAAAAACAGGTGGGTTGAACCTTGTTTTATGGCTAGCCAAATATCCCGCTTATATGGCAATGTTAAAAATACCGCTAAAATGACAACATTACGTGACAGGAATACAGTACAAATAAACGCCAGAACACATAGAGAAATACATAAATAAATAATATAATAGTACATTACAACATGTAAACCACAGAATAACAACGGACAACTCCCATTAATTTACGACAGTACACCAGCACACCACAATAGAATTATGAACTATGCGTCACACGAATGTATCAACGACAAGACATAACACAATATCTAACAAGACCCATAAAAGAAACATCATAACTAAATGCATGAATGTTGGATGTATAAATACCGAGACACGTAAAGTGTTAAGAAATGGGTGTTTTCAAATTGACCATGTTATTTGTCCTCTCCCAGTAATAATGGCCTCTGAGGATGTCACGTCTCTCGACGTATAATAGGGCCGTAATGAAAACACCCATTAATTAATACTATATTCAAAACGTTTTTATCGGTCTTCATTGGTATGTATCCTTTTTTGATATAATATAACACAAGGAGATGTGGTATGATTCCCAATGAGACAACTATCCAACATGACAAAAATTAAAATAACAAAAAAAACCGAACTCCAAGGAAAATTCAAAACGTAAAGTCATTGATCAATGTGAAACAATTCAAACCAAAAAAAAGAACGGCCTGATTTATGACAAACAGCAACCAGCGACTGTTTGCTTCTTATGTCTAAACTACTTAAACAAAGACTATATGTTGACATATGTTGACATATTGGAGGCAGCCAGTGAATTAATCTTCTATGAGATACCTTAAAAAGATTCATTTTTTTTCTCTATTTATTGAATGAAAAATAAAAAAAATTTAAAAAAATCTAAACTGTAAGCTGAAAATTGCTTTCTAACATCAAATAACTTATTTAAATTTCTGAGTTACTTTCCTTTTATTGAATTTTCTAATAAACCAAATATAAAAATGAAATATGTAGACTTTTCAGACATAAGAAAGTTTAACAAAAATACCGAACTCTATGGAAAAGGAGTAGGTAAATTATATCTTATACGAGACCTTAGAGTCAATTCGGAAAGGGGTAAGTCATTAAAACCTGACGGAATCAAACTATAGACTACATCAACCAACGGAAAACAAATGGAAAACAAATGTCACATTCCTGACTTGATACAGCGTTTTCTAAAGAAAATGGTGGGTTAAACCAGGTTTTATAGCTAGCTAAAGCTCCAACATGTGTTTATAGTTCTAATAGATTGGCAAAACTGGATGAACAACCAAATCAGACACAATTGGTTAATGTGACAATAATTGGGATCCAGCAACCAAAACTGTTTGTGCGACTTTGTCCCCAGCAGAGCTATAGAAAATACAGTACATTAACAGTACACTTTTAATGAATAGAGTCACTCATGCATTCAACGAGTTCATTGGCACTTTATAGTAAACCTTGTGACCCAATTGTATGTTTTTATAAAAATAATTTATATGAAAAGTGTTCATTAAAATTATATTTATAAAAAGCTAATTATGTCCCAAATTGCTGAAATAAAAACGAATGGCTACGAATTTACTGACTGCAAGAGTAACTGTAACCATAAATGTTTCCATGTACAAACCTCTCTTCGGTTTGCTTAGTAGTTAAACGAAAATCTTCCGAGTCGTCTAAAAGGAACTATACAGGAGATTGCTTCATTTCTCTTCATCTTCAATGAATTAGTTCAATTAGTATTGTGATTACGCAAAATCAGTTTTAACGTCAAACAAACTATCACCCATTTTGGACATTGGGATGGTAAATGAAAACATATTACGTCACGTGATTAATCCTTATTACTTTACTCTAACGAGCACGAAAAAGTTTGTGGATCCGAAAATTCAAAAAGAGATAAAATACATTAATTTTCAATACAATTTATTCCCCTTAAAAATGAATGAAAAAGTTTTATTTTATATATTCATATATTTTCTCTTTTGATTTCAAGATTCCTTGCACTACGTTTGTAAGTTTATGCCCCGTTTTTTGTAACCTTTGTTCTGTATCTGTAAACATACACAACAGACATACAACACAACTGACTTAAGCTCTCAATCAAACATAAAAATAATTCTGACAAATATGCCAACGAAAAAGTTTTTAGTAAATCTTACAAAGACGAAAAAAAAAACGTTTTTGTAGTTGATAGTAAATACAGTATATCAAAACACAATGCCGTACAGTACACACTTTCCCGATAAAGTACAAATAAAGTAAAATATAAATATAAGAGTAAACAAAATGAAAACATTACTGTAAAAACCTTTTATGTCCGAATCGCACATCTGGGCCCACCTGCACAAGAAATGCATAAAACCAAAAGCCCGATAGCTGGATGTACAAATATCGAGTCACGAAAAAAGGAACATAATAGCAAAAAGACAAATAAATGAAAAATTGCATTTGTGTGATTTTTAGATAAAGCGGCGTTTTAAACATTTAATTAATCAACTACCAACGTTGTGATATTTGATACACAACTCAGGAATTATTAAAGAATACTGAATTTAGAAGACAAAAAAGGACAATAAAAGAATCATTTACATATACAAGTATTATAAGGGTGAAGGTTTGAAACCATTAAAACGTTTAAAACCCGCTGCAATTGTTTGCACCTATCCTAAGTCAGGAATCTGATGCTCAGTAGTTGTCGTTTGTAGATGTGGTTCATAAGTGTTTCTCGTTTTTCGTTGGTTTTCCCGTTTGAATGGTTTTACACCAGTAATCAGTTTGGGGGCCCTTTATAGCTTGCTGTTCGGGGTGAGCCAAGGCTCCGTGTTGAAGACCGTACTTTGACCTATAATGGTTTACTTTTATAAATTTTGACTTGGATGGAGAGTTATCTCATTGGCACTCATACCACATCTTCTTATATCTATTAGCGTTCCAAACGCTTTTCTGACATAAACATACAATGTCTATCTAATTTGATCAGGAGTGAGTTACTAGATGTTAGTAAAAGTTCTTGTATAGTTTTTGGACCTCCCATTATGTGGGTTTAAATTGTGTTTTTGTGGAAAAGTAGAGGCGGATGATACCAACGTGATATTCAAACTCATAAGTAAAAGACAAACTTACAACGCCATGGTAAAACAAACGAAAAACAACCAAAAGGCAAACAACAGTTTTAAAAACACAACATAGTATAAAATAGGTTGAGCGAAAAGCACCCCACGAAAAACCGAGGGAGATATCAGGTACTCCGGAAGAGTAAGAAGATCCTGTTCCACCGGGGGTGTTGATGTAAGGACACATTTGGCGGTTAGACTAATTTGGTGATGTCTCTTTGAGGAAAAAACAATAGATTTGTGGTTACGACAATTTGAACATATCTGCCGTCATCTGTGAAACAGATATTCATTGAAAAAGAAAAAAAAAAGGAAATTAATTCATGACACAAATCCATACACACAATTAACAAAACCCAAAGTAAAGAAATATATAGATATAACATTTCGATTCAGTTCAAAGTCACATCGAGACCCTTTCATACGAAGCAAAAGGGTTGTTTATAAATTCAACATAGACTTCAAAAAATATGTCATTAACATGAAACTCCCTAATTGAAGACATGCATTAAGAAACACAAGTAACATTGAAGAGTTTTCAGTCAAGCACATTAGCATTTATTAAAACTAAACTGGACACTTTATCTGAATGGGTCAAAGCCAAAATTAATGCATTATGAAGTGTATTAAAAATCCACGATGGACAATGATCTAAGACCCTTTCACGAAGC